CAAGCGGATGTCATCCATATAATCAAATCAACATGGCCTAATATCGAGACGATTATTCTTACCGAAACAGGTCCGAAAATGTTTTGTTATAGACCCATCCAGGTGCTTCCGTCGGTACAGACTGCACAGCTGTCTGGTCGGCAAGGAACTTCTCCTCAGCAACCGACTCCTCCGGTATGTGTCGAGCATAAGAATGGAACTTCTGTAAAGGACTTGAGAATCGAAAGAATCCTAAGTTGTGTTAGGATTATGTTATGTTATGTTATGTTATATGTTATATTTTATATGTTGTATGTTATATGTTATACGTTATATGGTATATGTTATGTTATATGGTATATGTTATATGTTGTATGTTATATGTTATACGGTATATGTTATGTTATATGGTATATGTTATATGGTATATGTTATGTTATGTTATGTTATATGGTATATGTTATGTTATGTTATGTTTTGTTATGATATGTTATGTTATATGGTATATGTTATGTTATGTTATATGGTATATGTTATATTATGTTATATGGTATATGTTATGTTATGTTATGTTATGTTATGTTATGTTATGTTATGTTATGTTATGTTATGTTATGTTATATTATATGTTATGTTATGTTATATGGTATATGTTATGTTAGGTTATGTTATGTTATGTTATATGGTATATGTCATGTTATGTTATGCTATGCTATGCTATGCTATGTCATGTCATGTCATGTCATGTCATGTCATGCTATGCTATGCTATGCTATGCTATGCTATGCTTTGCTATGCTATGCTATGCTATGCTATGCTATGCTATGCTATGCTATGCTATGCTATGCTATGTTATGTTACGTTACGTTACGTTACGTTACGTTACGTTACGTTACGTTATGTTATGTTATGTTATGTTATGTTATGTTATGTTATGTTATGTTATGTTATGTTATGTTATGTTATGTTATGTGTTTCTCGCACACACCTTGTTTCCATAGATTTCGGATTTTCCACTGATGAATTCGTCGGTCCTCCTGATGTAGATATATTACTGCTTAGTCCGGCATCATTGTAGTCACTGTCTGCTTCTTCGACCTCAATGGAGGACCTAGGAAAGCGACACTTAATTCTATTTCTAGACACAGATTTCTTATGTTTCTATCCGTCATCTGTGAAGCTGGGTTCAGGATAAAAGGTTTCGTCAGAGTAAACACATAATAGAAACTAGAAACCAACTTTGATTAATTCTATCGTAGACTTAAGATGTCGTGACTTTTACCCCCTCATTTTAAAAGTAAAACAAATTCAGCGCCCTATACGCCTGGTTTTAAATTTACGAACTTTAATCTACTTGTAAAAAAAATAGATTAATGTTTTTTGATCACCCCCCTCCCCCCTAAAAAAACAAGCGATCAAACACAGTTCCAGGACTAAGATTGTGATGTTAAGTCCTGCCAGGCTTCGGCAGGCGGCTGAACAGAGTAGAAATCGGCCAAATAGATAGATAACATGCCAGGGGAGTTGGTCCGCTAGAGAGTACAGTTTGCCGCGCTAGGGTACAGTACTCTGTAGCGGACCAACTCCATCGGCATGTTATCTCTCTATTTGGCCGATTTCTACTCTTTCCAGCCACCTTCCGAAGCCTGGTAGAGGCTATGTGATGTTGCCCACCTGTTAGTATGCATATAAAGGCGAGATTCTGGTGGTTTCCACGGCAAGTGATCACCAGGGATCACGTGTTCAGATGTGTAATACAGCACAATAAGAACTGATGATACAGTAACCAACAGCAGGGCGAAATATCGATGATGATGATTAGTCATTTTGTTTCGTCACCAGGGAAGACACTAGTACATGTGAAGAACACTGCAGAAAAACAGAAAAATTAAAGTTCTTAATGTTGGAATCACTCAGAATTTAGCCACCAATATGACTTATATGGTCGGAAAGAGAAAACCA